CCAAAAAAATGTGGCTTTGGTGGTACTGAAAACTGCAAAAAAGGCCTGGATGTCTGCAGCATGAAGGAGCAACATAAGATGAAATCATAGAAGAAAGCAGGAGGTACACACACACAATGAAAGTTTATCACGTCAGAGAATTTTGTATTTTAAGTGCAATGGGAAAGTCCCTTAAGGATTTTTCAGCAGAAGAATAAATAACACAACCTTTAAGAAACCACTCTGGCACTTGTGTGGAGAATGGACTGGAGGAAGACAACAAAGGAAGCCAGAGCCTAGTTAGGAGATGATGACAGCTGCGGTGTGAGATGATGGCTAGACTAGTGTGCTGACTAAGGAAACAGTTCACGAACTTGGGTGTGTTCTGGAGACAGAATCAGTGGTCTTACGGACAAATCAGAGGATAAGAGAGGGGGAAAAACATCAAGATGACTTTCAAGTTTCTCAGTTAACTAGGTTAGAGTGTCTTACAAGAGACGGGAAGGACTGGCAAGAACCAGGATTCAGAGATACAGAGAAATCAAAGTCACCAATTGAAGAGAAGTTGGCTTTTGTTTGTTTCTTCAAAAAAGATGGTGCTTTGAGGTATCACGGTTATGGTTTCCTCTGAAGCTGTCTACCATTGCCATCTACTGATGCTAACTGAGGATAATGGCTTTGGGGGTAATTTCTCTAAGTCTTCAAGTAGACTCAACACACTAAAATAGCCCAACAAGGCAAAGCGTAGTGGCTCACACCTATAAATCCCAGAACTCTGGGAGGCCAAGGCAGGAGGATCATTTGAGGCCAGGAGTTTGAGAACAGTCTAAGCATCATAGATAGACCCTGTCTCTATTTTTTAAAAAAAATTAAACAAGCAGCAGCTGAAGAAATGGTAAGCATAAAATCAAACAGAATCTCATACACATATTTAGGTACAAAAACTTTTTTAAAAAGAGCGCGTCCCAGATGATTCTGATGTGGCACTCCTGCTTAGGAGAGTCCGCTATTCGTGAACTCAAAATCTTTCCTTCATTAATTCTTAATGTTACTGCCCTCATTACATCTCCTTGGCCTAGCAGACTACTAAAATAGCCCTCCCTGTATCTCCCAGCTTCCCGCATGACGTTGTTTCTCATCACTATCAGAATTCCCGTAACTCCAAATATTTTGTTTATTAAAAAAAAGTGTGGCCAGGCGCAGTGGAGGCACGCCGTAATTCCAGCACTTTGGGAGGCTTGAGGCAGGACTGCGCGCTGAGCGCAGGAAGTTTGAGATACCAGCTGGCACTATGGCAGACCCGATCTGCTTACAAAAAAAGTACAAATCTTAGCAGCGTGCGTGGTGCTCGTGCCTGTGATCTGTTATTCAGGAGATGAGGTGGGAGAATCACTTGAGCCCAGGAGGTCAACGCTGCAGTGAGCTGTGATGTTGCCATTGCATCCAGCGCTGGGGACAGAGTGAGACCTGTCTTCCCCTCATCAAAAAAAGTGACAAATGGTAAATTCTGAATAAGATTACCAACTAAGTATCAAACTAATTCTGATTTCATACTGGGTTATATAAGAGAACATCTTGATGTTATAAAACAAATGTATATTTTTTTTTTTTTGAGACGGAGTCATCGGCTCTGTCA